GTCTATATAATCCACAAGTCCCTCCTCGCGCTGCTCCTCGGAGCGAAGAGCCGGGTCAGCCGGGCAGCAGAACTTCGGAGATCGAGAAAACTGACTTTAAACTTCTCTTCAAAAAAACTCTCCATTTATTTCCCCCTTTTAATTTCAAGTTAATTTCTGCTGTTATTTAACCCCCTTCGACCTCTCTCCTCTCCTCCTCTAACAAGAAGAGCGATAGCTATGGAGTGGTGGATTCGGGTGGTGTCGCCGATCAGGCGGGTATGGATCCGGGTCGCAGCTCGAATCCGCATGCGCAAGTCTGGTAAGCTCCGCGGTCGCGGGTTAATTAATTGGTTGTTCTGATCAAATGGATTCTGATGTCTTTTGGGGGTTTTTAATTAGGGCTGGGGCCGCTGAGGAACGAGGTGAGCACGTGCGAGTACGAGGACGTGCAGGTGATGTGGGAGATGCTGAGGAAGGCGACGGACGTGGAGATCGGGCGGGCGGTGAGGCCGCGGGAGAGGAGGGTGGACACGTGGAGCGTTTTCGAGTGGGCTGGACGAGGACGACGACGGGTACGGAGCTCACGGTGGGGGGGGGAGAAGGATTCGCACGTGCCGGACATGTGCCATCTCCCCCATCTGTACTAATGTTTTGTGGACTATCTACCGTGTCACCGTGTTTGCCGCACGTGTGGGAGTTACTGGCTTCCCTTCTTTGTAATCTTGTTCTCCGCCTATAAATAATTTCTCGCGTTTTTAGGCTCTTTACGGTTTTACTGGAAAATAAGTTCGTTTGTAGTATAATTATGGAAACTATTTTCATGAAATTTTTAACAGATGGGGGGAAGTTCATGATGCGTTTAGTAGTGTAGGCCAACGGTTAGTTAATTTTCATTTTCAACAGCGCAAGAGAAATCCTTTGGCTGCCCAACTTTATGAATCGGATAAATCAACTGTTTTGTTTCGCAAACCGGTACTTGGTCCCATTTGCTATTTTTTTTTAAAGCTTAATGAGCCGACCATGATGTCAACTTGATTAACTACTAACGGACGAATCACGCGTTCAACTGTTCAAAGAATCTGCGCAGAGCACCAAAATTTCATACCAAACGTGACGAAGTTATAAGAGTTGGGAAAAAAAAAACTTATTTATTTGACCATAAATTTCAACTGAAAAAAAGACTACTGAGAAATTCTGACGACTATACAAATTGGCTGGACTTTACGATAAATTTGAATGCTGCTTGCAGCGAATTATTTCTATAAAACTAATTTTAAACGCTAGATCTAGAAATTACAGTAAGGGCTTCAGGAGGAAAACGAACGAAAGTGAGAGAACATAAATAAGGTGAAGCATAAGCGATTTACCTTATGAAAAGTACATAATTTGACTCAATAGCTAAGGAAAAAAAAATTAGCCAATAAGAAAAGATGATCATGATAAGTTATATGAGGACATCACCGAGACAAAATTCTGACTCTGCCACTAATTTAGCCAGCAGTTTTAATAAATTGTAGCTCTAACAAAAAGATGTTAAAATGATCTACAAATATTCTAAATTGTCAGCCTAACCAATTGAATATTGGAGTTATAAGACAAGGACTTGGTGCATTTTCTATCTTTGAAGATAAGAATTGAGGTGTGCTTTCACTTTCAAATCGAATATTACTTATAATACTTTGAGCAAGCTGTCTCAATTAAGATCAGTTTCTCTGTCGAAGCCCCAGAAATCAAACGGTGTTTGTTAAACTAAATTCTCAAAAAGATGTCTACTAAAATGAGTTTAAGTCCAGTTTTTGCGTAGACAAAGATCTTTTCAACTGTCAAGATGGTTTACTTTGTCTTTATCAGTGGCTCTCCCTAAATAGCTAACAAGAAGGGAAAAATATATATATCATAAACCATCCTTTTAACTTTGGATGATTGTCAGATAACCTTTCTGCAACTTTGAAAATATCAAAAAAGCCCCATAAATTTAGGGGTCACTAGAAAACTCCCCCCAACACCCGCGCGCGCACACACACAAGCATTAACTGCAATTTTCCACAGGGTTGGCTAAATTTTATGTGAGGTTTGTTTTTCTTTCCTATGAAAATTATAGCTTACACTCTTTTGGGGGTTTCCTGATAAAATCTAAAAGTAACTCGAAAGAGGGTTCTTGATAACCCCTAAACTCAAAGGGCGGTTTTCTGATATTTTGAAAGTCATGGGAGGGAGGGAGGTTTTCTGACATTAAGCCCAAAACAATGGATGATGTTTATTCTGTAGTCTCTTCCAGTGCCTCTTCACTGGAAAGGGAACAAGAAAAATACAAAATATTGGAGAGTTGATCTGAGCACGTTATGTACTGATCAACTAGCAGATAAATCTAATGTGCTACATCATTCTCATGGTACAGAAATCTAGTTAATTTACCTGCTAGAGGAGAGGAAATGGGGATTCTGCTCGGTTGTGCACGAGGGGACAAAGATATTTGGTTGTTCTGCCGGGGTTGGATAAGCTATAAGGAAAACACCAAAATTCTAGCTTTTTGACTAGCATCTGTATTCCTGTTATATTACTCCTTTAATATTTGTTGTTTTTTTAAATCTTGTATTTGCACTGATTTCAAGTTTGTGCATTTTTTTTTTAACTTTTGAAAACATTTATGTTATTATCTTCATGATTGCAAGACTATCTGAATGCCTGGATGTCTTCTTCTCTGAGTAAAGATATCCTAATTCAACACTCGGCTCTCTACGGGGTGAATTTTTGGCAGACCGAAGCATCCCATTTTAGCAGCAGATGGTGAAACTCTTCTGTCAAAATAAAGATGTTTGAACTTTTTTCGAGCAGCAATTTTTTTTTTAAACTTTTCCGTATCTTAGGTATGAAAATGTGGAGGTGATGCAGCGTCTGTAATTATGCATGACGATAAATGTTCGGACTTAATTGCAATTTTATGAAACACAGAAATGGAAGTTGAAGAAGAAACACCAACTGAAGCAAAGACCAGAGGTATATGAAGATAATAAAGATTCATTTGCGAAATTTACTGAAAACTTCACGGCTTCTATAGAAAGTAATTGAAGAAACTGTGACACGGGCACGAATCCTTGTGATTCTCAAGAGGAATGATAATCATAATCGTAAACAGTTAAAGAGATAAGTGTTTATATCACGAAAAACTTTATTTAAATTCTGTAGAATATTAGGAAAACACGTACGACTAATAAACAGGAGAGGCTTGATATAAAAAAAAATTAGTAACAGTTCGAATTTAACAGACAGATACATAACTTTCTAAAAACTATAAATATTGCACAGCATCAAACTAGCTATATAGTCACTTTCCCTTTAGGAATTTAACATGTTTTCATATTTTGAAAATAAGTGGAAGTAAACGAATAAATCAACATAAATTTTAACTATAACCAAAGATATTAAGTAACTCATTAGATGACATCGCGCATCTAACAGTAGCAGTCATTGAAGATAAGAGGTCAGGTGACTGGTGAGCTTTCACTTTCCAATGAAGGATCATTGTATTCTGAGGATATGCTTCAATTAGTATAAGTTTCTCTGGACAAGTATCAGAAACTCATGGTGTTCGTTGAACTACGAACTCTGAGGGAGTGTCTACTGAAATGAGTTTAAATCTCAATTTCACACAGGCATGCATGCGTGCCTGTATGTGTATACGTATAAAAGAAAGGAAACAGAGATGCACATAATAATGGATAAGCGAGTTTGGTTATTTTACAGAGCTGGGATAACGTACCGAATAATACTGCAGTTAACGATAGGCACAGTGTTTTAAAGTGGAATGCCCCTACCAGTTTTCCTCAAAGTTTCCAAGATCTTACGTGAAACTGACATCAATTTGCTTGTACCTGTTTTATTTTTGAATGATTGAGATGAAATAACCCCAGCCTGAATGCACAACAACCTGCACACCTTGTTGAGGATTTTCTTTCCCATTGTTTCTTTCATAGGAGATGGGGATACAGGAATTGCTAATCCATGAGGATACCAATTACTGTATCTTTTACTAAAACAGATGGAAGTGATAACGGAGGCAGCCAGATAGACTGAGGAGAACTTGTAGGGATTCATGTTTCGGTGACTCGCAGGAATGACCCCCGAGCTCAGTTTTGCACCTTTTATTTTTTAGATCTTTGACCAAATCTCTCTTCACTCTTAGCCGTTGCTTGTCCTTGGCCGTAAAAATAGCTTCCTTGCCTCTGCATTTTCCTCTACAAAGCAGCATCTTCTACATCCATTATCAACATACTGAAAGCTGCAATCTTTCTCATAGAAGCTCCCGGTTTGCTGCTCTGTAAATCTCTCCTCCTTTCATTATTACGGAAGAAACAAACCAGAGTTGTTCAAGGGCCTATAGCATTGCAAAAATGCACGCTTTCTCGGCTAACCATCGTTGAACACTGGAGGGTAGGCCGCCAAACACCTGCTGCACCGAGAGAGATTCTTCAAGAGGGGTGAAATCTACTATTAAGGACAGTGTTTTTGCACGCCTTGATCACTCCAAAAAAAGTTCTATTAATCTTGAAAGTTTTATTTCAGTTTCATAGTGGTAATCCTAGTTAATTTTACAACAAGAAGATCAAGTACTAATGCAGCTATATGAGAACTAAGAAACGTAATGCATGGTTTAGATTAGTCTTAAAGAATTAAGATTGAGATTGTCTTAAAGAATTAAGATTGAGATTGTACAAAGCGTATATGGTTATGTGGAACTTGATGGTCTTTGTAATAAGCGACGAAGATATTAGCCATTACGCAAAGGAAAATTTCCTTTTGCAACGGTAGAAAGTCAATCTTGTCCTCTATTTGGTTCATCGGACCTCACCATATTGATTTTCATGTCGAAAGGACTTTTATACATAAAAAATGATGTGCATATGATCAGGTTGACCATTAGTATCAAGCTACAAAAGGTAAAAGGTCAAACCCTCTATAAACTCATATACTATGCAATAGGATGAGAATTTTTTCTGTTAAATTTAATAACTTGTTCAGGTCAAATGGAAAGTTAGAAAGTTTTATCATTTAGTTTAGCCACTCCACTTCAAGGTCTGGCATGATAAACCATGTTGAAATTAATTAAACTCATATTACGGTGTGCAGAACAAACAATGTCACCAAAATGGCCAAGAACATTGAATATGGACGTTTCAACTTTTGATAAGTTCAAAGGCTAAGGAAGATGCTAATAAAGATTTTATGTTAATTTTCACACAATAGCTAAAGTAAGGACAGATTTCCAAAGGTGCATGTCATTTTTGACCAAAATTCGTAAACTAATAATGTTATGAAACTAAGGAATACCTTTGTGATCCGATGATAGAATAAAAAATAGACTCGAGAATTATATGTCATTAATTCTAACAACACAAACAAGCGAGTAAATTTCTGACAAAATATGTAGTCTGGTATCAGACACTGAAGTCCTCTATCGATCTGAACTATCACACTTGCTATCTAATATGATAAATAAATTTCCAGTGGAATATATGCAGAGTCTGAACTCTCTAAAAACTGAAAGAAAATAGGTCCAGTAGTTTAAATTAATTAATGATACCAACCTGAAAAATGTTTAATTCCGCAAGAATTACGTGACAACAGTACATGCATGCATGCTTGGAAGTGAAAAGCTTATTATGACGTACCTGATTAAGCTACTTTCTTCTTTCGTATACAAGGAACGTAAGCAAAATTACAATCTTAATCCTGTAGCATGCTAGCCCCTAGTTTTGGGAGTAATAACTCCGCAATTCCCCATTGCAGTTATTCACTATATAATCTGAAGGAGAATCATGATCAAGGCATTCACAGTCGTCCTACCCGATGTAATTAGAAATTATGATATGGAAGCCGAATAGTATATAGCCCACTCTTTCATGTAATATCTGACAAAACGAGCAATTGTAATTCAGCATGTGCTTTCCTCGTGCATGTCTTGAAGTTCAGTTTGCAAACTTTTATTATGAACAACAAGCTACATGAACCAACCAATCCACAGAAAGAGAGAAATGGAGGGGGTGAGGAAGAGAGAGAAACAAAAGGAGACCTAGAACATTATTCCCATATAAATGAAAGTTTAATGCAACTATTTCTAAAAAAATCCATCAATACTCACCATTGCTTCAGTGTTTTAGTGCAGTTGGGGACATTAAAAATGTGTCAGAGACCCTAGGTTCAAGTCCTATTGGTCGTGGGCATATAGGCTAATTAGTAAAGGAAAAACACCCCTGTACAGCCTATGAAAAGGGCATCTAACATGCCGGGGAGTGTTTTTAAATAGATATAATTACCTCAAACTTCACCATAGCATCAGTTTTTTTTTCTGTTGTAAAAAGGAGCCATTTCAATATAAAACATGAGGACATACAAACTGTGTATTATTATGCGTGCACCTACCTGTGCGCTGTGCAACTGTCTTGTGATAAGATACAAGAATAGATGAAGAGCAACAACACTAGAGATGGAAGATCTGCACCAAATGTGATAAAGTGATCTAAAACCAATGGAGATATAATTCCACGAGTCCTGCAGAGATTAAAGTTCCAGAAACTAGAGCTTCCTGTTTCAGCATGAACAAATCCGAAAGATGGAGCAGTATATATCCTTACAGGAATCAAGATGAATGTCGGAAGAAACTTGCAATGATACCGGATATAGCTCGTAACCAAATGATTCTAAAGGGAGCTTCAGAAAGTGGCGTGGGCTTGATAGTTACAGTTTAAGGTAACTTGGCACTATTTGCAAGGCAAGAAGAACGCACAACACAAACACTGAAACACGGAGACAATATAGTGAACACAGCAAATTCTAAGATAGATAGCATGTGAAAACACAATAACAAGTGTCACATCTGATACATGTCTAACATGGCCATGGCTTCATCATAAACCACCAATGT